TGGCAGTAAATTTAGACAGTGAAAGATCAAAGAATGGCGGATTTCTTCGCGCAGAACTTTATGGAAGAACGTTGGAAGAAAGCGGCATTAAAGAATGCTTTCGTTTTGATGAGTAAGCAACGATTCGAACATGCGGCTGCGTTCTTCCTATTGGCTGGGTCACTTAAAGATGCCATTCAGGTCACATCTGCAATTGTTGTGTTCGGTAAACCACCGATTGTCGATCAAATCTGAACGAATTTCAATTTTTCTACCAGTTATCAAAGATGGAAATTGCAAAAGGGAAATTGAATGGGTTCGGTTGGATTGCGAGCGGAAAGTTTAAAGTTTGGTTCGAGTTACGACTAAATGCAAAAATGAAGTCCATCAAAATGTTTTCCGTTCGGTTATCAGAATTACTTGATCGTTCCACGCTACTCGATGATTTCTAGGGCGAGAAGCTTAAAATAAGTCTGACACTATCTATCACTAATATTAACCTTGATATCGATAAGAAAGTTAATCGAGGGGGATGAACACCGTTTGCGATTATGATAGCGATATTGATGGTAATAAATTATAAAGTCATTTCAGACCGTATTGAGTAAGCTGCACGATCTGCAATTAGCAATGACAATAATACGTCTGTACGAGAGTGACTACGATAAGCAGTGTGTACTAATGCGTGATCTGTTATGTCATGAGGTATTGGGCGTTGAACCGAGTGAGTTCGATGCGGCTGATCGTTGTCTGATTGGCAGTGAGCATGATCCGATCACGCAGTCTACGAACGCTTGTGGGTTCGTGTTATTGTGCGATATGCTCTTGTTTTCATTCATTCATCTCATAAAACAACTATATGATGTGATCGCAGAATACTTTCAAAATAATGCGATACATTAGTCAACAGCCATCACTGTCGACGATAGCTCTCTACGAGTAACATCGTGCAAATGCTTTAATATTTTGCAAATAAGTCAATTGTTTTTTCCTATCGTGTTCATTTTTCCGGAACGGGAGGAGGGTTAGGGATGGATCGGTAGCTAACGTTAAAATAATAATAACGATAACAAAAATGGTAATAAATAATAGCATTGGTAGTGATCGTCAAGTTCAAATAATATTGAAATAGGATGTACTATTGAAGTGATCCATTCGAACGTTCGATGGCCTTCTGGCATTTGAAAGAATATTCTCGTGCAGCAGCGACGCTGGTAGAAGAGGGTGCAAAGAAACGTTTTGAAGAGCAATCGTCTGCGACTGATTGTTCCCTATCGGATATCTTCAATTTTTATTCGTTTCTTCGAAATCATCCATTAGTAGTTAGACAACGACTTGCCGATGCTGGTATTCAAGTTTGTTTTATTATTATTGGTGTTATTAATGATATTATGCTTACTGTTGTTATTATTATTGTTTTTGTGCATTGATTTCTTATTGCAGTTAGTTGAATTTATTACCAAACATTTCAATTAGAATGAACATTGAACGAGAGATTGGATTTTTTTTTGAGAGAAAGGAAAGCAAATGAATAAATGAATGTTAACAGATGGGTTCGACAGAAGAGTTTTTGGCAGTGGCAAAGCGATTGGGCGCAATGGTGACTCCAGCCGAACGTCGGTTGTATTTTCGAACAGCTAGTGCGCATATGGCAAATGGTTGTCCAATGCTGGCATTAGATGTGTTGATGCGATTACCGAGGTTCATCAATATGGTTGTGCCTGGGACGGGTGCTTTATCAACGTTGGCCAGTCGCAATACGCAACAACGGGTTAGAGTTTTTATAATGAAAATCTGATTCGTTATCACTTTTATCCAAGCAGAGAAATATATGGAATGAGAAGTTGTTCGATGAAATAGCAGCGAATACGAGACAGTGTTGATCAAAGGATATGTGTTGTAACATTAAAACACAAGAGCTTGATGAAATGGGAGTATGATTATCAAAAAATTTGTATGACATTATTTAAGATGTTATTTAAAGGTTGACGGCAATACGACGACAATGAATAAAGGTGGAGGCGAGACCATGGATTGGTCGGCTCCAACGAACGTAATTGACAGTGATGAACTGAAATTGGATTGGAGCAGCGATGAAGAAAATGCTGATCAAGAAGGTGGTGCTGATAAAGCAGTTGAAAGTCACGGTGCTCAACCCAATGGTACGGTGTATGACAATGCGGCGGATGGATTGAAACGAAAGGAGGTACATTATTGTTGTTGTGGATTTGTTGGTTTGATTTTAATTGTTCGACAATTTTATGGTGCTTATTGATTTACTGCCACAGTTTTATTTGTATCCATTTATAATCGGTCAGTTTGCGAGCAGTTCAGGCTTTTAGATTATAAGCAAATTTTCAGAACGAATTGTTGTCATAAGCTGACGTGTTATATGGTACATCTATCCGTTTTTTAGGGCGAATTGGAAGAGGACGATGGTGGAATGATAGACATAGTCGCACAACATCTGAAGTTTGTGGCGTCCATTCGTATAATGACCGAAGAAATGTCGACATTAGCAAGTGGTTTTGAAGTGGACGGTGGACAGTTAAGATTCCAGGTGATTGTCGTTTTTAATTGACTGCTTAATTATTTAATTGTCTAGATATTCAGTTGATTAATTCATTGTTTGAATCAGCTTTTCATTTTTTTTAAATTTCATCCAATTTTTTGAGGAAATGCAAATTCTTTAAAAATTGGGTGATCTTTTTTTTTGATTTACTCGACCATTCAGTGAATGGGTGGTGTGTTCCGCTTTAATTGTGTGTGCATTGTTCAGTTATTCAAATGGTTAGAAAAAGAAGTGGAAGTATTGAAAGAAGTTTGTGATTATCAAAATAATGTTGATGAAACGGCGTATGCAGCACTAACGGAGGAACCGGATGATGCAGATGATTTAGTACAGCAGTCTGAACAAATGTATCATTTTCTTTTGGTTACTACCATTTTTTGCTGTTATTTGCGTAATGATAACGGTGAATGTAATGATTGTAGTCGAATAGCATCTGAAGCGAGTATTCGTCCACCTTTATGGCGATTTTTATTAGAGAGAGGACAAAAAACAAACCGTAAATGGTGTATATCAAAAAGTATATCAAAAAAACTCTTCCACTCGCAAATGAAATTTCCAAAAAATTGGTGAATTACCTCAACTAATTTTTCAATGCAACAAGAACCAAAATGAATCATTGGAAACTTAGAAAACGAATATTGGGAGAAGTTAATTTCGAATGGATGTTTCAGTAAAGTAGGTGAGCGTTTCAGTTCGACAACGCCGATTGTTCCGTTGCACGAAGCGCTTCGTAATGATCGTTTGGATTTAGCGATACGAATACGTAGCGCAATTAGACGCAGATATTGGTTGCAGTCGAATCAGAAACTTTTACGTTCGTTCACATCGTATTGTATATTGCATAGTGCACAAAATTATCGACTTACATCTGCACTTATGGAATTATTGCTGTTGTTATTGGAAGTACAACAAGATGCAGGCACTTTGAAACACTTAAATGGTTGAATAATTTTTTGTTGTTTTCATTAGAATTAGTGCTGTTTGTTTAATGCAATCCGCAATAACTGATGCATGAATGCCTCTCTATTATTAATAATTAACAAATGTTTTTGTTAATGATTCGTACATATTCATTGTTGCACAAACGCAGCTCAAGATGTATTATTAGCTTAGCGCAAGAAATCGTTCATCGTCCGTTTTCATGAAAGAAAAAAGTTCATTGTTCATGAAGCATTGATTCAGCGATTAACAAGATACATATGCGAATTATTATTATTGTTGTTACATTCATTGTTAGAATAGATAATTAGGTTCAAGGCAAAGCCGAATCTGGCTGAGGTGCATCAGTGACATTAAACTCGAAATTAAACGAGTTGTGTTTTATTTAATTCAGAGCCAATGCCCGTCGTGCATTCATTTCCATTGTTAATTGCATCGGTTGCTTCTTGTAAAATGTTCGTCTCCTCACCACTCCATTTCATCGAAAACCAATGCTCTGATCTCATTCTAACAATCACCGAAATTGAAGAACCACCTCAACCTAATAATTGTCTTGCGAAAGTTGGTTTATATTTGTTGATTTGGCTTTTTATTTATTCATTATCGTTATCATGTATTCATTCATTTATTTATTTTCTTTTAATTTATTTGTTTTGAAATGGAAATTTTAAATTTGCTATTAATTGCTAATTTCTAGGTGTATAAATTATACAATTTGTGTCAAGGTTTATCATCTTGTCTGTATCAATCATTATGCGACATTGGTAATTTTAATTTACCACTCACAAATCAACAACAACAGAACGGGTGAATAACTGTTATTAATTTAGATTTTTGTTATTATTATTAAATAATTAATTTAGATGGGACAATGATTATGACGAATGATAAATTTGCCTTAATGAGGTATTAGTTATGGCACTTGCATTCAAGTTGAAAGCTATCTTGAATAGTTGATTATGTTTAGTGGACTTTAAATTAGTTAGTAGTATTCATATAAGTAAGCGAACGTGTCAAATTGATATTAAAGAAAATCTATAAGTGGTAAGAAAGTAACTCAAATGGAAGGAGGCCGATTGATGGATTTGAGCAGTACTAGGGAGCATTAGCCAGCAGGTGGATGGATTATAAATATGTAAATTGAAGTGCTTTAACGAGACACCCACGACTTATATCGCTGAATGAAGACGTTCATGTAACAACTGTACCGGCAAAATGGCCAGGTGTTGACAATTTAGTGGACCTATTGAATAGAACAAAAGATGAAGAAACACCCCAGCTGAGATTATTACTTGTGGAAACTTTTGTTGCGGTTCGTTGGTTTATTATTATTATTGTTATTATTATTATTATTGTTATTATTGTTATTATTATTATTATTTTCGTTATTATTACTATTATCATTATTATTACTTGTTATTGCATTCATTATTATTGTTGATTGAATAAATAAAATTCAGATAACAATGTCGCTATTTGCGTATGCATTCACTGCGTACGACGCAAGGTGGTTGTATCGGTTAGCGGCACATGTTATTGATGCGAAACAATTTGCGAATATTTTTGGTGGTGGTGGTGAGAAGAAGTTCAAAATTATCCCGCCTGTTCGACCACCGAGTAAGCAGAAATTTGTTGTGTTGATAGAGATTTGACTTGATTTGATTCGACCTGATTTGAGGACCTTCTTACCAGCCTCATCGACCATCCACAATTTCATCATCAACAACAGCACCAAACATGGTTCAGACTGATGGTACTCGAGAACAACAGAATATTATTACATCAACTAGCGACAACTTGTCAATTGATTCGCGGGCATTTAGAGCCAAATTTCATGCGAGGGTTAGTTAGTGGACGTTAAGTTACTATTTACAATGTCATTACGAAATGAATATTTTATCAAGTGTTTGCATAAAATCAGATACGATGATTAAATTTGTTTTTTTCACTTTGTTTTCATTGAACTTTTGCCTTTGAGGTTTTTGGAAGTGACTCACCGATCAATCTACCACCCGGAGCACCATCAAAAGCAATTAGTGCTGTTAGCAGTGTAAGAGGCTCATCTTCAAAGCAGGCGTCGATTGCAAGTCTGGGCGCATCTGAGCAAGTCGTCTATCGTTGGGTACCACCCAACAAAAACATTGTTCAGATGTTCGCTGAGAAGGTGATCGTTTTGTCAGTTTAGTTGTTTGTTTGTGTCTGTGTTTATTTCAATTATGGATTGCTCAATAATGATAATAAATAAATAAAGAGTTCAATAATGAAGTGATTGATTATTGTAGCCACTGGTAAAATGTAAAGAAGAATTGGGTGTCGATTACGATTCAGATGATCATCAAAGTGATTTGGACGAAAGTTTGAGTGGTGATGATGACAGTGATAATGATGGTGAATCAGATGTGGAACGTAGAGAGCACAATAATTTGGATGGTTATGCATGGTTGTTGATGCGAATTGCTTTATTGCATCAACAACTTTATCGTTTGAGGCAGTTCATTATACTGGCTGGATTTGATCCATCTGGTTAGCACTTTGTTGATTATTGCTATTTTTATTATTGCTGTTGGCATCATGGTGATTTTTTTTTCTTGCAGAATTGCCAATGATAGCTCCACGTATTGACTCAGTGTTTAAGTTGTTAAACAGTTGGGCACAGCAACTCGATGAGATGTTGAATAATTATGAGGGTGGATGTCCCACTGATATACTACCAAATACAACGTTGGATAATACGGATAATCATTTAGGTCAGTTGTTTTTTGTAATTTTGACAGTTATTGTGTTCTAATTATGACTCACTTATCGGGTGCTTGAATTTAAAAGCAAGCAAACGGATTGCACAGTACCATAGAAAATGTGGTCATTCGTATGGCTCAGGCGATGGTCGCTTTGAAAAATGAAGGTATCCGTCAGAAATTTTCACAAATATTACCGATATACCTTTCAACTTGCCATCCATTCTTGTTTCTTTTCGGTATAACGCACAGCTGACCAAATCAGAGCAAGAGCAAGAAATCACTAGTCCGTCTCACAATGGCTTTCAATAAAAATCCAATATTGGCTAATGATTTAGCGAATGCAGAAGTGATTAAGGGCTCCTTTTCCGTCGTACTTTAATGGACTTCAAAAAATTTTGAACCTTCAATAGATTTATTTCAGGTCCGTCGTTACGTAAATACCGCACACTGATAGAACCCGGCAATACGCCGTTTGAAGGTGATGACCCAACGGCGTTACCCGTACGTCGATTGTGGGCGTATTTGGTACGGCAGGAACATCTAACGAGAATTTTTATACGGCATATTTTTAGTGGAAAGGGACAAATCATGGTTAGTTGCAATTTTTTGTCTGGAATTGATAAATGGAAGAATTGTTTATTTTTTGAGTTTTGTATTTAATTGCTTATTTATTTGTTATACATTGATTCATTTCGATAATTAATTCATTCAGGAACAAGAACGTATTCGAACTGAAAGCGCGATTGGTGCAGATGTTGAACAGTCGATGGTACCTGGTGCTTTCAAGCTAATTCAACGAGAACATGAACCGATTGCTGCGTTCGCATGTAGCCAGGTGTCGTATTTATTATTAATTAATTTATTACTATTATAAACACTATTATTACGATTATCACTGTGTTACAGGTAAAACCGGGTTGTATAGTAGTTTCAACGACAAGAGAACTTCAAGAAATGGATTTGAGCACATTTTTCGATGAATGTAAAAATACGAGCGGCTCATCGTGGTTAAGTAATCGAACAGAATTGGATATTGCTTTGAGTGATATCAAAAAGGATCCGCTCAAGGTGTGTTATCGAACTGATAATTAATGCTGTTTGATTTGCTTTGTTTGCTAATCTGGTTTGAAATGTGTTGGTTTGATTTGCTAATCTTTCAAGGATAACGATGATTATCAACTATTTTTGGACGGTGGACAACACTCAACGTCGGCCAATATCGTACGTTATCGTTTATTGTTCCATTCTTAGGGTAAAATAAGTTTTTGGTGGATTGTAATGAATCGTTTGGTGTTCGAATGGACCGAATTCATTATCCAGTGTCCACTCATTATTCATTTACATTAGATAATTCATAGTTGGTGGTTGATTCTTTGCTGTGTTGAAGTAGGCACGGATTGAAGAAATTGAAAGATAACTTAAAGCAATTTGATTTATACAGATAACTCCATTTATCGTTGATAGAAGTCGTAAGGCTCTCTTAAAGGTATTATCAAGCTTATTTTTATGGTGGTAATGCATACGTGGTGATATTATTATTATTATTATTATTATTATTATTATTGTTATTATTATTATTACTAGTGTTGCCGTTCCATTGTTCTTAGTATTTATTGTTTTGCGAACGTCGTTTTTAAGTTATGATGTATGATGAGTCAGTCTCATTTTGAGCCTTGTACATATCCATTTCAATTTTGGAAATGCTTGTATGTGGAATGTGTTTGTGATTCGGTGTTCGAAAATTGCATGAATGAAGGGGTGTATTAAAAGAGCATGGTTCAGTCAGTATGTCTCTTCAGAAAACGAGAAATTCGATTAAAATTTGATTTCAGTCATTAAAACGACAAGTGGGTGGTATACGACGTATGGACTCGCATCCATCATTACCATATTGTAGGTTTTTTGTTATTGATTGCTTTTTTTTGCTTGCAAAAAAGACATTCCGGTTTTTTTACTGCTGTTTTGTCCTCCATATCGGAATACAGAAAAGGAAGAGAAACGACAGGATAAAGGAATATTGTACGGGGAATATTACTTGAAACCAAATGATATATGAATGTTATTGGTGTTGAGTCAGTAACACATTATGCTTCGAGCGTTTAGGTTTATATATTCTGGAAATGACGAAAAATTTTGTCTTTTTTAGATCATTCATATCTCATCTGCTCTGTATGATTTTTATGTAGTGTTTGTAATTAGTATTAGTTTGAACTGATTGATTGAATTGTTTAATTTCAAAAAAAAGTTCAGATTTGAGTGGCTCAGCAGACGGCTCAATTAGATTATGGGAATGGGGCGTTCCACAGCCGTTATTTACACCGCGTGTTGCTGGACAATATGCTAAAGTATGTTTTAAGATTCATTCAATTAGTATTTAATTGTTATTTTTCGTTTACTCTTTTATCCACATTTGCACTTTAACTTATTCATATCGAAGATGGAGTTGAAACACATGTTTGATTCATATAGAGGTGCTTATATGAAAGAAGTGTAGCAGTTTTTCAATTCATTTTCATTACTTACAGGTAACAAAAGTTGTCTTCTCGGCGAATGGTAATAAATTGGCTGCAGTAGACGGTGATGGACTACTATGTTTGTGGCAAGCCAGTCATGGTTTACCGATACGAAAGCCATTCTTTGTACGTGATGTTTTGTTAACTGATAATCGTCTGAGCTTATATCTCTGTTATATGTGCATTCTTTCGTTGAGTTGAAAGAATATAATTAAAAATGAATTGTGCTTCAAAATTTCAGAATCAGAAATGTCATTCGAAATCAGCAGCAGACGTGACATTCATCAGTTCATCGTCATCAGTTCTCGTAACGGCCGGATGGGGTTCTGGTGATCAAAACTTGGCATTATGGGACACTTTAATGCCACAATCAAAAGCAATGGTTCATTGTTGGACGGCGCATTCCGAAGGCGCTTCTAGTCTCGTCTACTTACCAACTCAGCAGGTAATTTATTGTTGTTGTTGTTATTATTACTGTTACAATTGACACACTTGTTGATTTGCAGACAGTTGTTTCGGGAGGACGTCATGGAGAGTTGTGCATCTGGGATATAAGACAACGACAACACCGCGCCACAGTGAAATGTTTCGAAGGGAATGCTGTAAAATGCATTTGCGCTGAAGCATCGCAACCGTACGTTGTGGTTGGATCAAGCGACGGCGATATTAAAGTTAGTAACGATTTCATTCGTGCTTTTTAAATTTTTATTTCTTCGATGATGATAAAGAGTTAAAATGCGCATCTCTATTGATGATATGACAAACTGCAAGAGGTATCCGTCTCTGAAATCCAGTTCTTTTTTAACTGAATTTTAATCGATTCCTCTCGGAATAGATGTGTTACTCGAACATTCGAGCTTGCGACTATGTTGGTTGAACTCAGTTGGATGAAGTTTTTGAAATGGATAAATGTTGAAGGTGCTGAGTATGGAAAGTATTCAACAGCCACAAGTGTTGCTGCAATTAAACGGTGAGCACGCAACGCGTGGTGGTTTCAGTCTTCGTCACGTTGCTACGGGCAGTATTCAAGGTGTGCAACAACTTTACTTGGACTCACGAATACGTCTTTTTTCATGTGGTGCTGATTGTTCATTGAAGTGCAGACCGCTATCGAGTTTTTGGACTTGATAAATTTCAGTTATCAAGCAATCAGTTAGTCAGTGGTTTACTTATAGATTCGTTTATTTATCGATTCAATTAGTTTTGTTGTCTCATTCATTCATAAAGGTTGTGAAATTGTTCATTCGTAAACTCCTGAAAAGCTTTCCTTCCCTCTCACTTTATATTGTGTATGTATTTGTAATTACAACATTCTGGAATGTTTCTTTACAGTCACCAACAACACAACGTTATCCTTATCAAATAGTGTTTAGTTGTGTTTCAATTTCTTTGAAGAAGGAACAGTTTTGGTTGTATTATAAAGTTCCCATTTTGATATTATCAGTTTTCATTATGATATGGTCATTACAATAATAATAATAATGATAACTAATATCCATTTAACTTGATAATAATAGCATTGTTAATTTATTGAAATTGCAAAGTAGCAAGTGAATGATAGTGCTATCACTTACGATCTACTGTACTGTATTGTCTAATGAAAACATTACAAATAGGCCAGTCTGTAATTAATCAAGTATGTTCATCTTTATCTTCTTGGTTTTTTCATTCTGTTTCATCGTACTGTTTCAGACAAACTCTATATATAATTTCTAGTGACATGGATGACTTTTAGTCGTCCAAATGGGTGATTTTTATTTCATCTGTTCATTCATTCTCGAAAAACGACAGTCGTTTCAAAGAGATTTGTCGTCTTCACATATAATTTTTATTTATTTATACATTCATCATGTATTTAAAATTATAATTATAAATTAATTTCTACTTTTTTGCTCTTTATTTATCTATTCATGTTGCAATATATTACTGTTGCTTTTATTATTATCGTCATAAGCAGTAATATTTATAGTGTAGTATTCTTTTCTTGCTTTCTCTTTTTTCGTTGTTATTGTGATCATGACAGTCGATCTTTTGAAGTTATTATTATGATAGTAATAATGATAAGAATTATTATTATTATTATTGAGATTATCGTTATTATTATTCGAGGTATAATTACAATTAGCACTTGTGTTGGTTGTGTGTGTTTTTTAAGAGTGCTTATTCGAAGAATTCCATCAGTAATATTTTGTGTAAGTTATTTGTAACAAATGAATTGTGACGTGAATTATTATTATTGTACTGAGAGTAAATAAATAAGCAATTATTCATCTCGGTTAAATCGCGAATCGTTGATGATGGACACGTTCAAGAAACGTGATCACCAATGTCGGTGATTTACCTACTCATATTGTTAATGATAAAAGTTATGATAATAACAATTTAGATAATTATAAGAGGAAGAAAAAGAATAATATAGATAAATAAGAAGAATATATCTTCTTTGCATTCATTGTCGATTCCATGCCAAAATTTACTAGATGATTTTTTTTGCTTCAAGTCGTGCAAATCAAGTTTTACGAATTGGCTTGATTTGTTTTCGTTCCGACTGTTGTTTGGATGCGTTAAGAATTTGTCAAATGATATGATCGATCGTGTTTTTCGTTGGAGAAACCAAATCGGTAATGTGTGAGATGATCATCACTGAATGATTAAAGCATAATTTTTTAGTTAACATACATATTTCGGTAAAGTATTGTAAGATAGCGTATTGTCGAAGTGAATTGTTGAAACGTGAATCACGAAACGAAGCACAGCACATTCATCCGATTCAGAACAACTGAATTTCAATATATGGCATTAAAGTAAGTCAAATTTATGTTCTTGTCCTTTTGCATTTTTTTTCTTGTTTTCTCCATCAGTAAAAAATTTTAGACGTTTTGAACATAGATATAGGTGTTTATGATATGAGGTTATTCTTATTTTGCTTATCGTTTGTTATGCCAATATGTATGCATGATTGTTTATGGTGTTGCAGAGAAAGTCACGAGAAATTGAAATATCATAGTAGTAAATTGTCGTCGTCATCCTCGTCGGCAGATACACTCAGTAATACTAATAACAATCTGACACACCGCCGCATTCGTGTAGAATCCGAAGAAAGTTCACATGACGGTGATGGTGATGATGGCTTGTCAACTCAACGGTATATTTTCTTATTTGTTCAGTTGCTTTTTGTTCTTCTTCGTTTTCTCATAATTATTTTTTATTTATTGTTATTCACATTGTTATTTATTGGCTGTGTTCTGCTTTGAGTATAGTATTGTGCTAACGCTACGTAGCGACTAGGGTTTGCAAAACCCCGACGTTTTTTCAATCCCGGGATCGAACAATTTTTGTAATATCGATGCGGGACATGTTCAAAAACATTTTTTCGAACCAATTTGTTCATTATTAATCAGAAAGGTTTTAATTCAACAAATCACTGAACAAATTCGAGGAACCAAATTATTCAAATTCAAATTAATATTTCATATAATGATGCTAATGATCATGTCGTAACGGCATACTGCATTTTCTATGCTAAGGCATCTTGTTATCTCGAGTCTAAGCTAATAACAGTACACTTGCATGTGAACATGAAATTCTTGATTCTCAAACACTTATTTGTAGTGCTTCAAGTCCATTTTCTCGCAGTATTAACGTCAGGTGAATTCTGCCATTTCGGAAATTTCGATTTTTTACGAAAGAAATGCATCATTTGAATTTTGGAAAAATTAAAAGTTCAGAGTTTACCTAAAAAGTGAAAAAAAAATCCGCAATGGATTTTCATCGAACCATCGAGCACTTACATGTTCAATAATTTTGATCAGAGATCATGGAAATGTACTTGATAGTTAAGCTTAAGATCCTTTTGAATGGAACAATTTACGACAGTAAATTCTCACTATGAGTGAATTCAGTGAGATATAATGTACATTTCGATCGGATGAAAATGTTTCCAAATAGCGAAGTAAAAAGACTTGCAGTCTTTAGAATATGCAGTTGAATTAACAAATGGAATATTGAAGCCGAAAAAATCGCGTTAGAGGAAACGACTCAAAATTTCGTTGAATTTTGTTGCTCTTGGCTCTTATTAGAATATGTGGTTATCTCTGTTAGTATACTATAAATGCATCCGGATGAGTGTGATATAAAGCAATGAAGATCCGAATAATTAGTTGAATATTCAATGAAATGTTACGTAAAAGTTCATCGAGCTGTCGTTGATCATGTCATTCGTCCAATTTGCGTCTATTTCCTCAGCTATTCAGCAATGATAGAGGGCAAACAGCAAAGACGATTGTATATGAATGAGATGGGAATGATTAAGGCTTGCTTTAAGATAAGCATACTATCGAAATTCACGCAAATTGACCTGTTTTATCAAATCTCGAAATCACGGGATTTTTCAAAACGTAAATCTCGGGATCGGGATCAGAACTGAAATCTCGGGATCCCGTACAAACCCTAGTAGCGACAACGCGCCACTATCCATCTCTGTATTAGTTAATTGAATGATTATTTGTGATTGAACTAATTAAATTGTAGAATGACGATAAATCATGATGAGACGTCATCACAGCATTTAGATGGATCTCGTGGTAGCGAATTACGACAATTACAAGTGAGTGAGAAGTTGTTGTTTGTTCATTTGAAAGTATTGATGAGAAGGTTTTTCAAGAACTGCTGACATTGCCAGTAGTAATCATTAGTTGTTGCGAAGGCAACAGCTAATGATTGCGTAAAACATGACTTTCATCAGTGATGAATTGTTGAGAAAGAAAGTGAATGAACGATTCAAATAAATTAATGAAGAGATGAATGTTTAGGATAGTTTAACACGTTTCTTCACACCAAGTAATCGACGACGGTCACGAGTCGCACAGTCATCATTTTCGCTCGATCAGCTTGACGATCGCTCGAATTCAGTTGATAACGTTGATAATGATGCGTTCAAAAATGTTCGTTATTGTTTATTGATTAGCGGATAATTGTATATGCATGTACTGGAATGAAAACGCATTGTTATGCTTTAAAAAAAAGCGTTTTTCTTTTAAAGGAAGAATCGGATGACGAAAAGGAAAGCCGTGAGGCGACAGCGTCAGCGGTAACAATCGTAAATACTGTTCTGAATGGTGTTGTTGTTGGTGGTTCAGGAGTTAGGGAGAAGAGTAAATCAACGAAAAAAAGGGAATGGCAACAGCATCAACAACATCGTAATATGACGAACACTAACAGTGTCTCGGATGGGAAGCGACTGACAAAAAGAGATCATTTGGTGAGAATTTGGGATTATTTTTTGGTACCATGAATATAGTAAATGCAAGTCAAATCATAGTCTGGCTCATGCTCGGCAACATTAATGACATTAGTACACCACTCGATTTCGAGCAAAATTTTCCTCCACGAACAGGAGTCGATTCTGCAAAATTATTCATTGATTAGTTTGTATGAAAGGGGATCATTTTGTATTTGGAATTCAAATCGCCTTAAGTGTTGTTATGGAATGAATATTGAGGATATTTTAGCGTCCGTTGACGGTAGCAGTCGATGATCAAACGTCAATAAAGATTGATGCAGGAGTTCCGTCCAGTGGCAGTGCGTCCGGCTCACGCACGACGCAATCATCATGGAAATCTCGTTAGTTCTTTATATCCAGTTTGTTAATAATGATTGTCGTTGTTATTATTATCATTAGTGTTATATATCACTACTTTTTAATTTATCTATCTGTCATGAATATTTTGTATTTAGATCATTCTTCCTTAACCGTTTCACCACACCGACGTAATGATGTGCTTTATGACGCGCTTTCACCATATTTTAGTGCCAGCTCAGAAAAACGTCGCACATTTTCGAAGGTATGTCTTTGTTTAGACGATAACAGTAATGAGTGTATCTGAAATGATTCATTTGTAGGGTGAATACGCTCAGTTGTCGGGTGTACGGAGACGGGGTAGAAGTGGTGATAGCAGTTCGGCGCAAGGTTAGTGCGATACCTCTACGTAGAGCAACTTGAAGTGTCGTATAAATGAGTTCCTCATAAATTTTGTTCAGAACAAATTTCGCCGACTTCTCAATGGAGCATTGAACGTGCACGGGTCAGTCCAGATCGTCATTCATCATTCGAATCGATCTCCGCAGTCGTAACGTCCTCAGCAGCAGCAACAGAATTGATGATTGCTGCTGCACAACAGCGTAACGGTGGTGTTGATCATGAACAAGTTTTGGTTGATGATGAATTTAGGTAAATGACTGCTTTTCGTAACCGGGCACTTATTGATCGTTTCTTGTTGTTGCTGCATAGGAAATGATTCGTTGAGCTCACTGAAGAAATCTTAGGCGGTGGTCATATTGAATATGAGCCGAAATGTTCGAATGTAGTTTAGACGTTCATTAGTGCAATAAACGTTTCAAAGACGGGAACAATCTGAGCAAGCTAAACTGCAGGTTGATGCCATATGATTTGCAGCACTCCGACAACAACAGAACAACGTAGCTCGTCGATAAATGGTACGGTTAAAAGCAGCACGCGACATCGTAAAAGTGCTGCTCTTGTTGTTAGTGAGTGTGATGGAGCTGCTAGTGCTGTGTCTTCTTCAACAGCACGTTATCGTCGTTCATCGATTGATTTGATCATTGATGAATCAATTAAAACCGATATAAAATCATCGAATCACAAACTTTTCATTACTACCAGTGGTGGAGCATGTGCTAGTGCTAGTAATAAACAGCAGCGAAAATCACTTTCATCATCAAATGATAGAACTCGCTCATCATCTGCGACTGGAGCTGCAGTTGTAGCCAATGCAGCGAAACGTTTGCGTTCATCAGGATCATCGTCGTCAGCAACAGCGGCAGCAGCAAAATCTTCACGACGTATCAGCAATTCAAATCAGAATCAAGATGGCAATCGGGAATCTAATAACCGAACCAGCAGCACACCATCACCACCAAAATTTTGCTCATCGACGCCATCTTCATCGCATAAAGATGTTAATGTGAACATTAGTAGTACTAGTATTGACAGTAATAGTGCATCGTTGACACCGTCCAGTGCAAAACGTATTCGAACACCAAAATTACCACATACTCCACCAATATCTGCTTCTCATTTAAAACCAGACTTGATGATGGATCATCATCATCATCACCATTATTCGTGTGCTGACGGTGAGTATTCATTATTCTTCATTTCATTTCTTTTGGCTGCGAAAATAGGCAAAAAGTTCTTTTAAGTAATTGTGCATTGAGTTTAGGTTCTTTGCTATAATTCCAAACTGCGGAGGACTTATTTGTTGGTTTTTGTTTTCTGCAGAAGTTGACGGTAAACAGTCAAGTGACATACGCAAATGCATGCTCGACTGATAAATGTTAATTAAAGATGACAGTGGTGTTCGGCATTCAAGTTCAACTGCAACTGCATCGAAATCAACTGGTGCAACTACTAAACGATCATCAGCATCCTCAGCGTTGTCAATCTCACCTAACAATAATAAAAGTCGATTGAGTACAAGAAAGCGTTCAAATGAAGCTGCAAATTGTCTGATTCGTAAAGCAAAAGCAAAATCGCGTTCGGTCGGTATTATGCCATCAACACCGAAACGTGCCAATCCTCAACAAATCATCAAAAATAGTTCACGAAATACGTTCGTATTCTATCACTGTTATTATTTGTATTATAACAGTCATCATTTAAATCTTTCACACCCAAATACTTCAGAATGAAATCTGTAAGGCAAACCAGTGTAACGAGTGGTGCAGCACGACGTGGATTGCGATTTGCAGCGGTGCAAAATGATAGTGGACTGGAAAATATGTAAAGATTATTGACTGATTTGTTTATTGAAATAAATAGTGGTCGTAAGTAATAATAATAATTGAAGGAAGAGAGGAGGATGCTTAGCAGCAGTAGAGTCATCGTCAGTAGCACGACGCTTATCATCGTCATCGTCGATGTCGATCTCACCAAATAAACAACAACAACGCAGCGGTAATAACATCAGACACAAAGCAGGTGCTAGTGCAGAACTGCTATGCTATACACCTGAAAAGCCCATAGTAGCGTCTGCATCTGATACGGAATTGTTTGAACGAGCCTGTTCAATGGCAAGAAGGGTCGGTTATTTATGGTTGTTCAAATTTGTTTGCTGATGCTATTACTAGCAATATAGAATGAAAGTTGATGAGTGATAATGATGATTCATGTGTAGAAAGTGGAAGATGTAGCAACGACGACAAACGGCGATGTGAGTTTGCTGGAAAGGAGTAGCTGTTCGAGTAGTGCGAATCGTAGTCATAAAGCAGATGAAAGTGTTATTGGCTCTAGCAACAACGTTAACTGGCAAACAGTGGCTGAAGAAGGTACGGCTGGTAGCTGTGGTGATGGAGCGAAGTTAGATAATGCATCATCGTCACGACATCCTCGATTGGAATGCATTATGATCGGTGGTTATCGAATCGATACGTGGTACTCGGCACCATATCCAGAGGAGTATTCACGTCTCACCACGCTTCATATCTGCGAATTTTGTATGCAGTACATGAAAACTGAAACTGCATTCCGAAGACATTTGGTAAGGGTATAATTATTGCTGTTTGTTATTTTGTTTGTTTGTTTGTTTCTCATTTCTGACTTATTTATTGGAGATATTTGAAATGGTACGTTCATTTCAGCTGAAATGCAGTTTGCGTCATCCACCTGGAAATGAGATATATCGCAAAGAGAATATTTCGGTTTTTGAGGTATGTTCTATTCATTTTCTTTATTCGGTTATTGTTTTTGTTTTTTTTTAAATTGTCACTCCTATCACTAGTAATTGTAATAATCGTTGAGCAGTTTAATAATGATTATGTATCCTCTCAAATGTGAACTTGAATCAGATTGTTTTCAGGTAGATGGCAGTGTTTCATTAATGTATTGTCAAAATATTTGTTTATTAGCGAAGTTATTCTTGGATCATAAAACGTTGTATTATGACGTGGAGCCATTCTTGTTTTATATTTTAACGCGAAATGATGAGAACGGTTTCCACTTTGTTGGTTATTTCTCAAAGGTATTTTTATTTTATCTTATTATTTTCAATGTTTAGTGCTTAATATTGTTTTGATTCATTATTATTGTCGTTAATTAACTTATTAAATTACATTACTTTATCCAGTTGAGATTCTGTCATTATTTCATTGATTATGATTGATATTTTATTAGTGTGTATGGAATATGCTCTTTTATAGTATAATGTTTCTTTGATGAATACTTTTTTATTGCAGGAAAAGTATAGTGCACAGAAATACAATTTATCTTGTATTATGACGTTACCGTGTTATCAAATGCAAGGTTTCGGTCGTTTCTTGATCGATTTTAGTAAGTGAATTACTGACTTATTCAGTTATGTTTAGTTGACCATTGCAAACGTTGACGCAGTACCATATCAGCGCATTTATCCGTTTTTGCTTCGAGCGAAAAATCAATTAAACTGAACTTTACACTCAGTTTAAGTGAACGAAATAAAAGGGAAGTTCCGAAGTAAAATTATCGTAGATAGTAACGAAGTAAAATAAAGTTTTTTTTTATATTTTCAGTCAAAATGAACAGCGTTGAAATTATATGTTACCACCACCAAATAATTTGAATTTGAAGGTTTTCTTCTGTCACGTCGAGAGGGTATGATGGGTACACCGGAAAGACCGTTATCAGATTTAGGTAGAATATCGTATTTCAATTATTGGTTATCGGCTATTTTGGAGCATTTACACGATTCGTTGGACGCAAATCATCCGAAAAAAATCACCATTAAAAGTAATTTGCATTTTTGTTCGTCTTTCGACGAATTTTTGTTATAATTTTGAGCTGTTTCAGTTTTTTTTTGTACTCAAATGTTCTTTATCTTTTTGTTGTTGCTGATCTATTTGGATTTATTGTTGCATTCGTGTGTTCAGAAGAAAATGAAATGAATCAATTGTTTTCAAACAGAGCGCTTGATTATGAGAGAAAAAAAAAAGAATGAATCGTATGCATTGTCGTTATGGTTTAAACAAACGGAAATGTAAATTTAAGGTATTGCACGTTCAACGGGCATATCGATATTTGATATCATTGAAACAATCGAGCCGTTGGGCATGATTGAAAAAGAAGATGCACAGTAAGTGATTTATTTATGTTGGGTGTGCACTACATTCGAATAACTGAAAGCTAAACTTTTCTACACTTTCGTCATCGAAATGTGTTGTTTTCTTCATATTGCAATCAATTTATCTTCTGTGTGCAGCAGTATGCTATGCCTAACGCAATAGAGATGTTTTGGGTTGATCAAAAACCCATGTTAAGCGGCTTTCTACTCGAAGCATTCGATAGTCGGATACCTTGCTTGCGATTAAGTCTTTTGACAGCACGGTCGCAGTCAAGTGCGTGTTCAGATGTGGCTGTTGTTGTTGCTTCGGTTGCGGCCTTAAGTTGAAAATTTTACGAAAAAGCAAAGAATTTGTTCGCTATAAATTTATTTTTACAAAATTTGTTAAAACAGATGAGCAGAATCACGCCTGAACGACTGATAATTTCGCGTAAATGCTTGCATTCATTTGTTTGCTCACTTACAGGAATATCATTTGCTTAAATTATTCAATGATCGAAAACCATTGGAAACGTGCAAAAAGTAGTCGAAGTCGATTGTGGATCGATGAAACAAAACTAAAAGTGAGGATATATTATTTTGAAAGTCATCTTTTGATTCTACTTACATTTATTCTCTTCATAGACTTTTCTTGTGATGAATTAGTTGAGCGAGGAATCAATCGACGTGCCACGTGCGGTCAAACAGTGCTTAGGAAAGTAGCATCGGTGGATGCTGAAAGGGTTGTTTGATCGTAAGTGGTTGTGATCAATTTCGTTTGAATAGTACAATTGATTATTAATAGGCACAGTAGTCTTAGAATAGTTTACACACTAATCATATACAGTTTTAAAATATTCAATTATATATCCGATTAGCAAACCTACCATTTGTAGTTAGAGAAACGGGCACTTTCGAGGGCCTCGTCCCCAAAATTATTCACGACGACCGCATTTTCGGAGTCTCCGATTGCCAATTTCGTTCCCGAGTTTACTGATGCTTGATTTTTTCCTTCACAAAACACCAGCATTAAATATAACATTTTCACTCAACTTTTTGTATATTTAAGTGGGAACCAAGAGAGTACACACCATACAGCCCGATGAAAGAGGGTCGTTCACCAGTTGCAACTGCAGTGAACCGACGTGCAAGCTTGTCACCGAAACGATCACCAGTCGACACTCGCTCACTACATCATGTCACGGCGGCCGTAGCCGACAAGGTTTCATTTATTATTCGTTCATTACGAAGTGTGATTGAATGCGTATCTTTTCTAAATGTACATTTATTCATAAATCATTGTTTCATTCTCATATGCACATTAGTATGTAAGGGAATGCGGGCAATTGTTTATTATTTGACTGAGTTTAGCAACTTGAAAATGATTACGTTCGTTTATTGATGTTCTAGAAAGTTACTGGTGGAACCTATCGAAAGTATTCGAAAGCTGGAAGTGGAAGAGCTGTGGGTGCCAGAAAACGGCTAATGTTCGAGAGTAATAATGCGAGTCGTTCATGTGGTGGTTCGAGATTAGCGAATTCAGTGAAACGTCAAGTTGATAAGAAAAATATTTCATCAGCAAATGATAGTGAGGATGATGATGATGATAATGATAACGATAGCAATCTTCAACACCAGCAGCAGCAGTCGCCATCATCAGTTGCAAAGAATTCATGCAAAGGTTGTTCATTATTCACTCTGAATAGAAGCATATCTCTTAGTTGATATCAAATTGCCGATTTCAATGAAGAAGTTGTTATCGTAACAAGATTTGTTTCAGAACAGTCGAGGTTGAGACGACGATCAAATCCGGATACAAGCGATGATAATGATTCATCGGATGACGAAGAGCATCATGATGGCGGCCATGAGCGTTTTCGTGGTAGTAAACGATTAGGATCCAGACAACGTTTGTTTTATTATATTATATTACTGTTTTATTATATTACTGCCTCGTTATTATTGTTATAACTGATTGGTAAATAAAATTCAGGATCAAAAGATGGTACGTCAATCGGTAAAACTGGTGGAAGAACACGACGAAGTGATGCTCATGCGAGTAATAAAAATGATAATAAAAAGAATAAGATAAGCAGTGCTATTGCTAGTCACAAGTTTACTGATAATAATGGTATCGTAGCAAAATCGAGTACTACAACAGCTCTTCTGTCTCAGCAACAACAGCAACAGCGAAGAAGATTGAGACGTAAACGACATTATTCGATGAATAAAACGAAAAAATTACGATCACAATCGAGGCGACGACGTTCTTCTTATAGAGATTCCACTTCGACATCATCTTTGACATCATCGTCATCCTCACCAGCATCTTCGTCGTTGTCGAATAACGATAGCGATGAGGATGATGAAAATGATCGTTCATTTGGTAGGTTTATTTTTGCGTTTGTTATTATTTTTGTGCTTATTATTGGTTCAATTTGCAGCAGATGCGAGTGTTGTTGGTTGTAATAAAGTGAAACTGCCAACGAAACGATCGCCGCAGAAAAGACGAAAACGAAGACGAGTTGCGAAGACTGTGGCAGCACCAACAACAGCAATCAAGGCAGCATCAGCAATAGATTTAAGGGTATTTTTTGTTGGTCTCTTTTGAAGCATTAATTCTGGGATTACGTAAGCAGTAATTCAGCAGCTTCGGGTAATGAGTTCACAGCTGCTGATCATTCTGCATGCGTATTCACAGAGAATTTATATTTGGTTTGGAACTCTTTCTCTTAGTCATATACACGATTATATCAAGTACGCAACATGTCGTATTACATGCGATCGTCAGTCACCTGAAATGTGTGAATGTAATATTTTGGTGCATTAATACTTCAAACGAAAACGATCACTTTCTGCTTATCATTTTAGCATTCTGAATAGCAAAATCACCCGATCGTAAACATTTCAACGAAGAGAGGAATGTTTTCCTTGTTGAAATTTCAGCGACGAGTATCGTCATCACGTGAGAGTTCAGTGGATACAGTGGAAACGGTTGCGATGTTGGATGGTGATGCAGCGGTTATTGAAGATTTAGGTTACGATCAGAGTCAGAATATTAGCAGTGCTTTTGATGGTTCAATTATACATTCCAATCTGAATGCTGAATCGTCTATACCGAGCAAAATGCAAGAAGAGGAACGGACACAGCCACAACCATCATCATGTGCCACTGTTGATGGCGCTGTTGATGTTGGAACGGCTGAAATTGAACGGTCAGTTGGATGTTTTTCAATTATAGTGAGAATTCTTGTTGCAGTAATAATAATAATGGTAACATGTAGTTATATAGGTAATAAATGCCTTTTTTACTCTATATGTGTAAATATGAATTAGTTATCAGATAACATTCGACAATCATCGAATTCTTTGTTATTTTCTTCATTAATACAAACGAGCATTAAGTGATATCAGATTGATTTTTTAGATGGAAAGCTTTCATCGATGTATTTTTCGGAGAAGCTGATCTTTATTTTAACGATAATAATTCATGCGGTCGATATAAGATAAAAATATATGAACAAAAACGAGAACTTGTGTGAAAGGAATGGCATTTCAGATGGACCAGTTCTACAACTTCAGTGAAAAGTGCTAGTAAAGGGATGGTAGCAGCAACTGGATCATCGTCTTCGTCGAGTTCTTCGTCTACTTCATCCTCTTCTTCGTCGTCATCATCGCCTCGATCGATCAGCAGTGGCATTGCTACCTCAACTAGTGTTCAGTGTTTCAATGCTCCATCAGTCGCTGCTGTTGGCGCAGCAACAGCACAGAGTTCCTTTAACGAAAACAATATCTGTGGCACTGAACCGAAAGGGTTTGTTTACTGAATAAATCTTTTCAAAAAATATAAAGTTGAGCGATGCGGTTAATTATTCACGTGTCTGTGTTTTTTTAAATGTTCCTCTTATGGAAAATGATTGTTTTGTTGTGTTTATGATGTGATGTGTATGTTCTATCTATTCAGATTCGAACACACATTCATGAATGACGGTCGGCAAGTGACCAAAAATGAAGTGATAACGAGTGAACAAGCAAAAACAAAAGAGAGCTTTGACGATGTAGATGGCGAGGATCGTCGGAGTCTCTCGAGGTCATTTTTTATATTTTTTTACAAATGATAAGATGAAAATAATAATAATAATGCGATAGTAATGATAGTAATACTAGTAATAGTAAGATGATGATATAAAAGTAATATAATATAAGATTTATACCTACCAGGCCAGTCAAAAAGTTTTGAGATTCGCATACTGGTGAACGTTGGGCTATTTTGATAATAGTAGTGAGTTAGGTGATTTAGCTGACAATTCAGCTGCAGTCGGACGTTGAGTATTTTGGAGGCAATACTAGAAGGTTCCATCGATCAGGTGCGACAATTACCGGAAATCTCTGAATTCGTGTGGTGGGTAGCAGTGTTTAAAAGCAATAAAACCACTTTAACTGAAATCAATAAAAATCGAGTTGGACAATCGGAAAGGGTATGAGTATCAAAGGGTACTTTTTGACTGACCTGGCATCTCATTGAAGATCTTCATAAAGCCGCAAAGATTATTTATCATTGCGTTTGTAAGTGTGCTGCGCACATCTATTTTGTGGACGGATGTATCTGATGTATTGTTATCATTTGAATTTCGCAGTATCAAATTTTTTCAGATGTAATATCGAGTTAAGTAATGATGAATTATTGCCGCCAAGACTAGAGGCAGCCAATGATGATAATATGCCGTCGTTATGGCATCGTCAACAACCTGAAGTCAGTTCACCCGAACCAAATATGATGGAGGTTTGTTGTTAAGATACATAATTGGGATTGCTTTGATTCAATTAACTTTGTGTTTATCATTTTATTTTTTATCAGAACTACGAACAGAGAATGTTTTTGTGGTGTTTCGATTGAATATGTTAAGGTGAGCTTCACTGGTGGTTCAACGGAAGCATTGTTATTGGAACGTCGTGATGCCGCAGTATCAGCGGATAATGATATGGATGTAGATGATAACAACAGTCGAGCATCGTCTCTTTCACCAACCGAAATGCCTCAGTTACGCGTGAGTACGGCCGCTGGCTGTGGTACGGGAACGGGCACTGAAAGTGTTTATGACGGTGGAGAAGATGAGGATGCTCCTCCACGTTTGTCACCCAACTTTGCACCGGTACTTTTGCCTATTCATGTATGTGCACTGAGCGTGTTGAAATGTTGGCAATCGATTGATTGTGTTTGCCATTGACGCATTCTTTTGTAGACTGAAGTTGCTGATGAAGGAAGTCTAAGTGAAAATGATGAAACAACACCGCTGCAGTGGAGAGTCGATGAACGCGTTAACAATGCTGCAATACTGACAACAGCAACCGCAAGCACCACCACCTCAGTAACAACCACAACAATAACCACAACTATGGATAATGCTCGTTGTGCAACTAAACGATACTCTGATAATAACGATAACAATGACGCGAATAATAATCCGGCTAAATCCAGTAATAATCAACTGCTACTATTCAACACTTCGTCAGTGCCACCGCACCTATCTGCTGCAATCATGAAATCACCATTAAGCAAGCAGCAACAAATGCCTCTTCATCATAAGACGTCCACATCTGTAAACAATTGCAATAGCGATGAAAATAATCACAATAATAGTATTAATAAAACAAATATTACGCGTCAAAATAACAGCAATGGCCATAAGAACAGCAATAATAGTAAGAATAACAGCAATTCCAAAACTACTAATAATAACACATGTGAAATGGTTAGTTTTTTTTTGGACTTGTTTTGTTAAATTATTTTATTACGGCCAGTTAATTTATTTCGTCAAAACATGAAAAAAAACCTTTAAGCCTTTCATTGTTTTTTTTCTTTTGGTTGATTGAGTGTAAATTTTTAAAATTTTTTTTTCGTTATTATAAAATTCTTCTAAAAATTTTCAACCATTTCAATGCGAGAATATTGTTTCCGTTTTTTTCGTGGGAGTTTGTTTTTTTTTTTAAATTTATAATTTATCTTTTCATTCGTTGAGTTGATAAATTAGTTGACAAGCAAGAATTTTTGATTTAGATGTATTTGTTTCTGTTTGTTTAGTTAGTTTGTTTACTGATTTATTTATTTATTCATTGGTTCGTTTATGAGTTATGGTAGAATATTTTTGTTGATTTGCTTTTTTGAATGAGTGAATTATTTGTTTGTGTGTTTTGATGTTTGAATTGATTTTTAAAGAATTAATTAATGATGTTGATGAAAAGTTTCTTTTGAAATAGGTGAACTTGGGTGGTGATGCTGGAAGTGAAGGGAGCGATGCAGAAACAAGCAATGATGCAGCAACAGCAGCAGCTGGCTTAGACGACTCAAGTCTAGAGGTGAATAGAAGAAGAAGGATGGCTGCTGCGTCGACACACAGCGATCGTCGTCTTGATGGCACCGCACAAAGCGGATGTTCCGGAGCAGTGCGCACCGTGTGTGAGATAGCAACAGTTGACACGGAAGCAACAACGGCTGCACTCGACCGACCACCGAAAGCACCTCAGATGTTAACGCAACCTCTCGATGATCACGATCATGAAATACTGGTGAGCTTGCCTTACATCTGAGGGGGAGGCGAGCTTCAGGGAAACGACGACTGACTGCGAATTTGAGGAAGAGAATAGTCTGTGTCTGAATCAATGATTACGAAGGGCACTTATTCTCTTTGCTAGCTTCTACTAAGGCCTAGAAGCACGTACAGCGTTTAAAACTTTTCTGAATCATACTTTCAATATGTCCCGTCGAGCCGTTGATCTGTTTGTTTTTTGGTGGTGTGTAACGGCCCGGATGAATTGTGCCTTTTTTGAGTTATGTGTGATGTTTAGCGTCATGAAATTTGAAAATTTTCAGTGTTCTTTTACATCCGTTTATGTTGCACCGGACTTGTCAAAATCTTTGTGATGTCGTAGCTAACGATAATAGCGCCGGGAATCGTCGTCCGAATTCTAGCTTCCATTATTGATTTAGCGAACGTAGAGTTATTGGGCTACTCTTGCATATTGCGTTATAATTTCAGATGAGTAGTTGTTCGTTCAGCGGCGTTGGAGCAGGTGCTGATATGTCGTCGATGGCATCCTATACCAGCAGCAACAATGCTAACACCACCAACGTCACTAACAAACAATCATCACAATTGACGGCGTCACAAAATTCTGCGTCGGTGTACGTTGTTTTCTCTTTAAGATGATATCACTTATTCATCTATTCATTTAATTAAACGAAAAAGATGAATAATTTTTATTCATTCATTCAATTAATCAACAGTTATTAAAAATCAAAATTACAATCACATTAATAATAACTCGTTATGAATGATAGCATATAAATATGTGGATAATGAATGCATTCATGTTAAATATGAGTAAGTAAAAATCACCAAATGAATTTACAGTTGAAAATCACCAGATCGAATTCATTGTTGTTTTGTTTTTCGAAATAAGCAGGCAATGAATGATATTAGATTGGTTTGTTTTGGTGGGGAGAGGGAGTCATTAATCTGTCGTTTTGAAGATGTTTTCTTCATCTCAACGGGGATAATCCACTTAGTAGCCAGTTGGCAGATCGCAGTCGTAATGAGATGTTCATTTGATTGATTGATTTGTGGCTCACAGATTACTTTTTTGCGTTCGTTATTTGAAGAAAGACAGTAGGAGTTTGTTTATTTATTGTGAAGAGAGTGCGTTTGATTTGCAGGGCAACTATAATTTGTGGACAACAGCAACAGCAACAACATTCTTCGATCACATCTGTCAACAATTGTAATGGTGATGTTTTGTCGGTTGTTGACAATAATATCACCGGTAGTATTGTTGATAATAATAATATCACATCATCACAGCAGTATGTTGTCTCATCATCATCATGCTCACTTCAGCAACAGGTTAATAGAAGCAAGCATAGTTTCTTTTAGATTTAGCGCTTCTTTTCTGATGGTTTCAATTTCTGTTAATATGTGATAATTAATCGAGTAATTATGCGAAACATTAGCAAATTTTAAATAATGATTGAAAATGCTAATGAATTTGCTCGTTGAAGTGCAATACACCAGCGGCCCCTGCGACGTCATCGTTATCATCGACAATTCAGTCACATCACCATCATCACCATCATACGGATATATGTGGCAATAAGAGTCCAGAAAGTCATATCTATTTGAATGTTGTTGCCAATGAGATCTCATCAGAAACATTGAATAATGACAGTAGCAGTAGTAATAACGCGAATAACAACATAAACAACGATAACAATAACACACCTACAGTGCGTTCAAATGCTGCATCAACACTGCGATTATCGTCATCAACACAACAACATTTACATGGTATTATTATTATTTTTTTAATTATCATTTCATATCGACCAAATGAGTAAACTTTTACAGAAACAACAAATCTTGTGAGTGCAAAGATGAACTATGGCAATATTTCATTATCAACAGCTAATGGATCACACTGTGACGAAACATCATTATCATCCGCATCAGGCTATCAACTGCAGCAGCAATCGCTGCCATCGTCGAATTTGAATTTATTGCCATCAACTTCAACCAGTACTACATCAATGCCATTAGTAGGAGCGTGTTCAGTGTCAACTCTTCAACGAGCTTCACCGTCATCACCATTATCATCCAACCAAGCTCAACCTCAGATAATGACAACAGCGACAACCGCTGCAACTGCAGTAGTAACGACAAACAGTACTGCTACCAGTAATAGTAACAGTAATTCCGTGACAGTAACAACAACAACAGCAATGAAAATATCGCCTGGTGTCGGTGCTACTGCGGCTGCTGCTTCATCTACAGCCGTACCGTTGTTGTCTCGTGGATCAGTTATGTTGACCGCAAATTTTAGTCAACAGTTGCAACATCAGCAGTTAATGAATAATCATCAACATCAGCGTCTTCATCAGCAACAATCTATTGTGCCTCAAAGAAGAAATGCTTCAAAAAAAGAGACGGTATATTCTATTCTTTTCACGCAGAAAGAAAAATTCTTGGGATAATCCTTCTTCTTTCATAAAAACATATTTAGCTACAAATATAGTATGTAACTACATAGATTTTTGGTGTTGTTCTGAGTCCAATTCCCTAGAAATCACTGAACAAGATAGGTTACTAACCATTGTATTTTTGTATAGTCGAGTTAATGAGAAATGTTAGATCATTCCCATGATGAAGGATTGATGTTTTGCTTCGCTAATATTGTTAGCTCTAGGTATCGAAAGGAAAAATCAAGATGAATTTTTGATGGTCTTATCAATGTTGATTAAGAGTAGAAAAGGAATAATGCGTTAATAAAGCATTACTTTAGAATCGATTATCAAAACAACAACAACAACAACAGCAGAATGTGGTGGCTTCATCATCAGCTTCGTCTAGTCAGCAACGAATGCTGTTATCTTCAGCCGCAGGACGATCCACTGCAGCAGTCGTATCAACAGGAGCAATCAACCCATATATGCTGAACGCAGCAGCGGCAGCATCCATTCATCATCAACTAGGTGCTGCCGCAGGTGCGGGTATTGTTCATCCGCATAGTGCACAGTCACATCATGGTCAACATCTTGCGCATTCTTCACATACTCCTCAACAGCAACAAAGTATGCACTTTGATTTGCTTGTTTCGTTTTCATAGGTGCTCATATAAGACATTTCAGCAGCATACTACCCAACAAGTTATGGTGGCGCCGCAATATCATCACATTTCGATTCGACAGCACATTCATTTTATACGGCTACCGGTAGTATCGCAACGCCATTCGGTGCTGCCAATTCAACAACGGCCGTCAATGGTGTAGTGGCTGCGGCTGCAGGGGGTGTGGCTGCTAATAACTCATATCATCATCAGTCATCGGTGGCAGCTGGCACTGCGTCTTCATATCATATGAATAATATGCGTAATACGGCAACCAATAATGCCAGTAATAATACGATCAAGTCACATCCACTTGCAGCTGTTCGTAATTCATTTTCGACCTACAACACTTATCAAAACAGCATTCAAGTTTGTTTTTAGATTTATCATTAATACTGTTGCTATTACTGTTCTGATTGAAGGTGTTTATTGGTTAGAAATAATAAAAGTATTCTGCTGCAGGCGTCAAGAAGTGGTGCAATGTTAGTTGATGCGGATGCGGCACAATCAGCCAATGCCATCGGATCTGCACCGACAATGATGGATGCAGCCGGACTTCAGAACGGTACTATTGCCGGACAGAATACTGCTGCGACTGCTGCTCCGTGGAGGTGCTTTCATTATTTTAGTTGTTAGATAAACCTGTTACATATTTATAATAATTATATGCGGTAATAACCATATTTTTGAAGATACCCGAGTACGGCAGCAGCAGCGACAACAGCTTCATCATTCGCTAGTAATGGTTTCATGATGGATGCGTTTGGTGGTGGTAGTGTTGCGCATTCGAACAGCGCCGGAAATAGTGGCCAATTCGCACTATCAAATCAGCTTTATCAACAGCCGTATTACTCATATTTTGTGCCGATGATGCGTAATGATATTAACTGATCTATAATTATTACCAATCTCATTTGAAAAAATTCAAAACAAACGTTAGTTGTTGCATTGTTTTGTTTTTTGAAACGTTCATTTTAGTTTTTATGAAGAATTAGACAAATATTTTAGTTTTTGAGGAACGCGTTAGTAAATACGTTGTTGAAGTTGATTTAAGTATGGAACTTTTATTGTGTTCTCTTTTAAAGTGTATAGGTGGCGTGTACTGATTTAGTGTATTCGTTCATTTGTTTGTTGCTTGTTTATTTGTTTGTTGTTATTGATTTATCAGAAGTAAGGAACTCAAACTATTGATGTAAATGAAGCCGATTGGTATGTAGGCGTATGTGAGTGTTTCATTTCGAAGATGGAGAAGGGAAGGGAAATTGGATCACTTGTTATAGGTTATAAAAATTAGTGAATAATTGGTGTGATCAGCAACGGAGATGGCATAGATCAAAGGAACTGTATTCCCTTAGGTATACTAATGATGATCTAGAAAACGATGCCCAAGGAATTTTTTAAAAATCAGTTCGAAACCAAAACATGGAATGACTCGGCACGTAAACATAAGTTTTTGTGCACTGAACAATTTCAGGGGTCCAGTCGATCAAAAAATCCTCTAAAAATGATTTTCACGAAAGGTTATTGAGAGAACTCGCTCATATAACTTCTGAAACAAAAGCTCGTTGAGTTGAATAATTTCGAGATGATTTTTTTATTTTTAAACAAACGAATAAATAAACAACTAAACAAACAAACCAAATTGAATATTTTAAAACGTTATTAAAGAGAATCTTTTTTTCTTGATATCGATCATCTCATTGATCTCTGAATAGAATATTATTTATTGTTTATTTTTTTGATTAATTACAACTGTTGCAGTTTTTTACAATCGTTTGTTGATTATGCATTCGTTTGATTTGAATAAGAGTATCTCTACTGAGTGATCGTAAAACAGATGTTGACCTTTTTTTAAGATGAAATCGTTGTGTGCCTAAGAAACCATCGTTGTTATCATTATTATCATTGCTATTATTTTAGTAATTTTAATCATTGTCGTTGACATTACTGTTGAACGTTTATGACATATTATTTGTCTTTTGCACTATACATCTCCTTACATTAGCTTGCGTACTGTCTGGCTACGTATTTATATGCTTTGTGCAAATCAGTTATGATTTATTGTATATACTTACTAAAATGATTTGAAATTGCGTTCTGATTTCGAAATATTCATTTATTCGTTGGATTTTGTAACTTCAATATAATTGTGCTTGTATATGAATTGTCCGATTGATTTTTGTGGATCACTTGTGAAATAATGGGTAGTTTTTGATGTTTTAATTATTGTTTTATTATGGTCATTAATTATTATTATCGTTATTGTTATTATTACTATTATTATTATCATTATTATTGTTACTGCTATTATTGGAATTATAATAATTATTATTGTTCTTATAATACTTATTGTACCAATTGAAGTTATTGCTTGATTTTTCTGAACTGGATTTTTCGCAGGTTTCTGCCTTTAATTGAACTTTGCAAAGACATATTTCTTCATCAATTAAAAAAATATTTGAATTCGTTTGAATTCAGTTTATTAATTTTTTCCATGTATTATATGCTTACCGGTCGTTTCAAAATGATTTTGATTAACGTTGAATTCTTTTGAATTAATCTTCACGGAGTCGTCTCTTTTTGATGTGCTGTTTTCGTTGATGAGTATTGGCATCTTTATATCTCTCTTTAGTATTTAGTTATGCGTTATTTTAACCAAATAATTATGATTGCTATTATTACTAATATGTGTCAGATAAACCCTTTCGAAATCATTGTTAAGGTTGTTATCGTGTTTTAATTCGTCACATAAATGAATGATCCCATCAACAAACTGTTTCAAAATGCAGTGTGTACTATCTCTTCCTTTGAATTTCATTTCGTTCAGTTTTTTAAGGTTAAAATGAATGATTTTCTGTGGATTAGTTTAATTTTCATACTTATCGTTTGTTATTTATTAATTTTGTTATTAAAGTTTCATTATTTTTACTATTAATACCAATATCACTATTACTGTTATTATTGGCATTATCATGATATATATTTATGTCTGTGTTATTATCATAGGTTGTTATTATTAATTATTAGAATTGGTTCTGGTGGGTTTTTGCTGTTGTTGTTGTTATTGTTGTAGTAATAATGGAATGGTGATGCATTCAGTGAGCGGACGAATCACTCATCACATGTTAAACTGGTTTTAAACTGCTGTCGAGCACGCCTTTAAAAAGCAGCAGTTGACGAAACGCGAAGACGGTAAGCCATTTGCCGGATTGTTGCGAGGTTTGTGGACTCAGTTGATGTAATTAAAGCTGAAACTGTTGGTTGATCGACTGATTGATCACAGTGTTTTATTCATTATCCATATGTGTTGGTTCAGTCAGATATTTCAAATGTAATATGTCGGTGATCGACAGCCAAATTCTTATTTTGTAAAAGAGAGGATGAAGATCGACAGCAAAATCACTTTAGACGTTTATTATCTGATTTGAACTTTAGTGAAGTTATTACTTATTGTTGTGACGATTTGTGGTTGAGTTTAGGTGAAGGTTCTTTCCTGGAATTGATCGATCAGTTGATAGAATAGCAGTATGCTCGATATTCTCTTCTTACTCGTATCACTATTTTGCGCGCTTATTCTACTCGTTTATAAACTCAAAAAATCTGGATTTTTCGACAACGTTGAAGTGAGTTTTTCTATTTTACTGCAGTCTGTTTGCTTTTCATAACTTGTGCACATTGCATATGTGGCTATTTTGTGATGCCAAACGATAAAATTACTCACTTGCATGCCCCCGACTCTATGGTTTATCCTAAAACTGCGGTAATCTCAGCCGTAGAGTCACTATCTAAATGCCAATTTGGTTATTTTCGACGTTTTCTATCCGTTAATTTTATCAACTGATTTGACATTTATTTCATATCATTTTAACCCTACACTAATAATGCAATGATTAATCACAGGTCACCGTAAGCAACAAACCACCGATTTTAAATCAGTCAATTGTTATCTTTTATAAGCGTCATGTTGGTGCGTACAAACACGCAGCGAGCGTTTTCAAAGAGGTTTCTGCGTTGACTCCATCGAATGCGATCACATTTGGGATTTATTACGATGATCCAGAGGTGTTTTCTTGTTTTATCGCTCATCTTTACAAATGTGAGAATAACGAGAGACCGCATTTGCGATCGTTCACCTTTCGGTTTAAGTTCACTCGTACTCGTTTAATCGCTATCTCAAATGGTAGCACACAACCGTTTACTTGATTAAGAGATACATTCAGCTGTGAACCTTATCTCAAATGTAAATCATTATCGCTACTTATGTCGTTGCTATTATACTTTTACACTGCTTCAACTCAGAATTTCTAACAGCAAACACGCATACTTTCAGCTGGTCAAGCCGCATCTCCTACAATCGGCCATTGGTGTTGTGTATGGAGGTATGCGTAAAAACATTACGGTTTTTATATAGGTGGCCACTAACCGACTTAACAAATTTTTCATGTTGATGACTATCGAAAGAAAATGTGTGGCTATTTATAGTTGTAACAATAATGTAGATGGTAGAATTATATGCATTTGTATATATGAATATAGCTGGATATAATTCTATTACTCCGATGTGTATGTGTTCAAGAAATGATTGGTTGTTGTTGTTTTTGCAGTAAATGGAACTGATTTATACCCAGCCAATTATGCGGAACAATTGACACGTTGGGGTTATGAAAGAATGACCGTACCGGCCGTTCAAAGCGCAGTTGTTGCAACACAGAGGTATTCGATCGTCAAACCGTTCCTTTTGTTTGTAATATTTCTTCTTGATAATGGTGTATGAACACATATCCTCATCGAAGATAATGTGACGACGCATTGTCAACTCAAAACTTTTGCATGACTTCAGCGCAGCCTTAGATGCAACAGACGAATGAAACTTTAGCTTAAAATGCACTTGACATTAACTTCAGGCTGAAAATTGCGCTCAAATTCCTAATGCTTACTTTTTCAGATGCCAGCCTTCGATCCTTTTGCAGCGTAAGTGCTGATATTTTCAGGGCGCAGTTGAGTAGCTTAGGCTGTTAAGATCAAAATTTAATTTCTTCATACCAATCACTACTATGATTGTTGAATGAAACACGTGCCTCATCCATATGTTACTGAATGCACACGAACGAAATGCTAATTGCATTTTAACAACCCGCATTGTTTGATGATCCACTCCGAATAACAACTTCTTTATTTATTTGTCTGATTAAGGTACGACGGATTTTTTTCAATGATTGCTCTAACGCAGTTCACTTACTCAAAGATTAAAGCATATATAAAGGTAAGTCAGTCAGTTAATCTGATTGAACTTCTTAACTTCATCTAAATAATCGATTCTTGATTTCTTATTCACAAATGATATTGTTGTGCATAGATGCCATATTTTCGAAGAGACGATACGTTTAGCCTTCGTTTCAAGCGTATTATTTGTTTGAAAGGAATAGATAAATGACACAAGTAAATGTCCATTGATGGATATAAATTGTAAGTTGAATAAAATAAAGCGAAAAAAAAAACGCTGCAAGCAAATAAGCGTCAAATAAAAACGCAGCTGCAAGGAAGATTTATTTTTTCTTCTGTTCTTGTTTTTCAGATGCATAATCTGAATGCACCAATTGCTGTTGAATTTTTCGAGAATGATAAAATTCATCTGATATTACCACTTGAACAACATGACGAATTTCTCATTCCTCAGGTTCGTCATCGTTGCTTGTTGTTTTCGTTTATTTCATCTGTTCGTTCGTATCAGTAAACGAAACAAACTGTTACCATCTAGTTGTCTGTACAGATAAGTGATGAATTATTTCGTTTGAGTTGATGAAATATGAAGCGCTCGCTATTTCAATACTCTGTTCATGAAACTGTATCGATGAGTTGTATAACCCAACCATTCACTCGTATTTGTTACTTACCACATTATAATATGCGATGATCGACAGCTTAATTTTTGGTTTATAATGAAGAAAATAGAGAGGGATGATTTCAGCGTAAATGTAGAGCACCGTCGTTTAATGCATTAGGAATGCATTAAACATTAAGCTGCAATGAGAAGTAAAAGTTTCTGATTTTAGCAACATCCACCCCTGATCATAAACTTGTTGTTTTCATTCTGTATGATTATTATTATTATTATTATTATTATTATCGCAATTGTTTCCATGATCAGAAATAATTTTTGCAGTTATTGAGTGTGGAAGATTTGGAAACGCAGTTAGCTCGCCGTAAATGGGATAGCGATGAGGGTGAAAGCTGTAGTGAAGATGATGAGAATCGTGTTGATGAGGATGATGTTTATGATTCACAATGTAGTGTTGAGAAGGGCACTGAGCATGTAGCCAGTGATGCTCTTACAGCGAGCGATCATGTTAAAAGTGAATGAAAGGTTATTTGACATGGGTTTGACTCGAATCGGTTAGATGACAACAAAAATTTGCTTGTTTCTTCGATGGATTTATTTCATTTCTCATATATTACTTGGATTGGCAAACAGGCTATCAAACGTGTGTAACGTTGCTGGTCACAATGCTCACGTTTCCGTTCGCACTGTTTTAGCCTCAATTTACGCCACCCCGCTGGCTAGGCGAGCAGGCCGACCGAACACAAGCGAGTAATTAATTAGTTGCCATGAATACTTTGCATAATTAAACGTAGCTAAATACTAAATGTGTATGAAATACTAAATATTATGAAATATACATTTCTCATATATATTTCATAATGCGCTATATTGGAATAGAATCGAACTGAGCCATGCTCATGTAGTTTGAGTACTATTGGGCAATTCCGGGATGTTTTCACATTAAGTACTGTCGCATTGATTGCTTAGTGAGTTGATTGATTTGTTGGTTTTAAACTAAAATAATATTGAAATGAATTTATGATATGATATTGTATTGTACTTGATTTGCGTAATGTCCTCTTCTAATAAAAGTTGTATCGCACTGAATTCAATTCTTTCTTTCATTTCAATTTGTACTTTGCCATTCTGTGTGGAACTTTTATGGGTTATTTTTCTGTAAAATATGCAACTCATATTGATTGTGGTCTTTATTATTGTTATTATTTTCAGTTTATTAACTCGGTATTTCTCAGTTAATTGGAAACATAACTATTTCAGCCGTCTTATTTCATTTGAATACGTTTTATAGTTGTATTTTTTTTTGTAATTTTGTATTTTTTATGATTATTAATTTGTTGTTTTGATCAGTACAGTAATCGTAATTTTTTTTGAATCCGCATAAAATTGTTTGATCAGTGAACTTCCGTTATGCATTCTACACTAAATGACAATGATTTTGATTTGCATAAATGAATTGACGGGCTAAATCTGTTTCATATGCAGATGATCACGTTGTTCAGTGATGTACCTTCAATTTAACAACAACGGTGATAATACTGATACTAATTATAATAACATCAACAATCACATCGATGTGAACTTGAGTACTGTTATGTTTAGGACGTAATATGTTTATCATCATACGCCTGTATTTACCGCAAATTAATAACTGTGAAGTTATCACTGACATGGCTACGTATGTCGTGATGATGATAGTTATTAGTTGTGGTCGTCATATCAGATAATCTTTTTCTATATTATCAGAAGTGTTCTCATCTTGATATATCCAGTAATTTTTAACACTAGTTTTCATTTGTAATACATTCACCATTCGTTTATTGAATCGATAATGAAAAGGCTAATTTTTCTTTGTTGAGGTTCATTTCCAGTGAATATTCTTTTTGATGTGGGACTGTGATGAATTGTTGGCGACGATTTAGAACATTGACCGACGGTGAATATTGTTGATTTTGGCTCTGATGGATGGTGGTGAGCATAACAACAAGAAGATAGCTGGGAATGTTTTTTTGAGTGAGCAAGAACTGAGTCAAATTATTGGTTAGTATTCAATTTTCTAAAAGATCTATTTACCCATCCATTTTTTCATGTAGTATTCTTTTGTATGCTAATTTATTTGTTTTCTCATTTGCTTATTCATTTACTCCATTCTGACATTATAATCTTTCTGTAATGCGGACATATGGTTGATTTTCCTTTCAGCATTTGCTGAAGAGTTTGCACAAAAAGCCGTATCTGAAACGCTTGAAGGTTTGGAACGACAAATTGAGGCAATTCAAATCAAATTAGACATTCGTGAAAAGCCAAAGGCACCGTCTCAAGTTTGTTAGTGTTATTATTATCATTACTTTTATCATTATTATTATTATTGTTGTCGCTGTTGCTGCGATTATTTTCGTTTTAACGATATATTTTATTGTTATTTTTTGGTTATTTTATTGTTTTTCGCATATGTATTTTTGTTGAATCATTTGAGCATGGAATATGAGATGGAAGGAAATGAGCTCATAGACTGCTGATAACTTAGGCTTGACATTATTACTAACGGGTGCACGACAATCAACTCCGTGAGCAGTTCCACCCTGACAAACAAGTGCGTCAGCATAACCACTGAATAACAGTGTGTTATTGAACTGCTCACGGAGCTAACCGTCGCCCACCCGAAATAATATCGGTTGATGCGATATTCGCTATCAAATAAAATTTGCTCAAGCAGCACTGAGAATCGAACGCAACAGCCACCGCTCGTATGCTCTAGTGTTTATGTGGTAGTGTTTTGGAGTCACACGACTCGTTCAGTCGAGTTAACGGGTTGAAAGTATACGATTAGTAAATTGTGAGTGAAATGAACACTCAGCAATTGTCACTTCAATAATCTAAACGACGCATCCGTCAATTTTTTCATCTTATCCACATTAGTATAAGGTGACATGATATGATAAGATCTAGTGATGTTATCGTTCATTTGAAATGATTGATGGTGTGCTCATAACAGATAATGTTTCAGCAAGATTACGAGAATCTGTCAGTCGAGCAGTACGTAATATTCGTGAAACTATCACAATGCGTCACTGTTGTGCTTTTTTCGTATGCTACACACTTTTGTTATACTATCTCTCGACAGTGTTAGTGCTTGTTTTTTTGCGGAGGAGGGAAGGGGCATTTGATTCATTTAATGTTTGGCGGTGACAATCTTTTTCATCTTCTTTTCCTTTCAATCTGTCCTATTAAGGATGGACAGCCGAGCGGATTTTGCTCTTGCAGCACATGCGATCTTAATTGATCGGGCATGAAAATTTCTTGTATTGTAGTTGGCATGATTGCATTCGTTGTTTAGTTTGCTGATTGATCCATCTGATGGTCGACTTGCGCGACGGCGTGCTGCACCGCCGATACCATTCTTCTCATCATCTTATCCATCAACAACTGATGAAGACGAATCGCAATCGTTGAAAGATTATTATGACGGGAACGGTGCACATTCATCGCTTTTATTGCGCAGTTCTGAGCTGGTGATTGCGTTCTATTATGCGACGTGGAGTTTAGATTCAAAATTAGCACGAAACGCTTTTCAAAATGTAGCGAAAAGTTTTGATGGTTGTGATGATGTAAGTGGTTAATTCATTCATTGATTGACTTTATGAGTTGGATGAGAACTTAAAGGAAAGATTTATCGGTGTTTTTTGTTGATAATTTTCATTGATAATTTTATTTTGATTTTTTGGATGACTTCGTTTTTATTAGATTATCTTCTATATCGCTTTGCAGATCTCGTTCGCAGCCGTAAATTGCTTCACGACGCATGGACAGTGTCGAAATTCATACAAAGTGGGTGCATTCCCAATTATAGTGGCCTATGTTAGTACTAATCTAAAGAGTGTGCGTGATGTTGCACTGATTTATAACGGCGAATTGGTTGACGATTATATTCGAAGGTATATTTGAATACGAATGTATATATTTATCACTATTCTTGATTAGTATATTCTTGTTTTTTTGGATGTATGCATTATGTGAATCAGTTGGTTGAATAATTGAGAGATTAATTAAATGTTTAATCGATTATTCGAGTGTTTCATTGATTGATTATAATAATTATTCATAGATGGATTTTATATGTTCGGAAACCAATGCTACGAATAATTAACCACGTTGAATTTATCGATTTCTATGGGCAATACGATGGCGCTGTGATAGCCTATTTTCCAGTCAGCGTGAGTTGTTTTCGTATCCCTCGAACTATTTTTCATTCGCTTGTGCAAAAAAAGTAGTTAATTCAGCAACCTCGGGTAATTAGTTCGCAGCTGCTAAGCATTCTGCATGCATATTTACGAAGAATTTATATTTGGTTTGGAACTCTTTCTATTAGCCATATACACGATTATATCAAGTATGCAGCATGTCGTATTACATGCGATCGTCAGTCATCTAAAATGTGTGAATGTAATATTTTGGTGCATTAATACTTCAAACGAAAACGATCACTTTCTGCTTATCATTTTAGCATTCTGAATAACAAAATCACCCCATCGATTTCAAAAAAAATTGCATATA